TTACTTCACAGACTACAACTGTAGTTCTTAGGAGTGGGCAACAGGAAGAACTGTCAAGGGTACAAGTACTTCCCAGAAAGGAAGGATATGAATAAGATCTCCCTTTTTTTTTTTTTTTTGCCCCATCCCAAAAGGCCAACAAAACAAAACAACGATCTCAAAACCTACGTTCGTATTTAGCTTGCATTTTAGCAAGCTGTTTTTTGTGGGAAAGTGAAAACAAGCTAGTGAAGGAGCACCTGTGTAAATACATATGAAACAGGCACCCACCACGGCAGGCAGAAAAGTCACCCCCTGGGTCCCTCTGCTCCGACTCTTAACCAACAAACCAGGAGCAAAAAAGCAAAATAACTGGGTTTAACTAAGGACCACCAGACAGTGTTACCAAGAGGCTCCCCTGCAAGACCAACCTACCCACACAAGGGTCCTCTCTGGTGCCAGGGGAGGTCGGACACCTACACGACTGCACTGGAAATGTTCCAGCTCCAATTCCACAAGCAGCCTGGAAGACTCCCAGCTCAAGGATCTGTTTTCCTTAGACAAGCACCAGCCGAAGTCAAGGGGAAAGGACGGAGGAAACACACAATTTGTCCCCATCAGCCCTGACGTAGGTTTTAACAGGAGGCAGTGAAAGTATCAAAAGAAAGGGTTAAAAAAATGCCTAAAGGTCAGCAGGCTGCTTATATAAAGATAATAAAAAAGGCTCCTTGGAAAAGCAGTAGACATTTAAGAAAATAGAAATCAAAACTGAAATCATAACATCCTCCAGATTTTCACACAATAATCCAGTCATTTCACAAGTGATAAAACAATTGAGCTTCGCAGCAGTAGTGTAGCCTTGCAAAAGGTCAGCTCAATCTGTGTTCTTAACAGATTATAGTTATGAATAGCCAGTTAATCAAAATTTAAAGAAACACAACACTGAGCACACTATTTACCTCAGGTTTTTCCCCCGAGTGTGAAAACTGAAGTTACATCTAACCTTCACCTGCTTGGAACCATTCCTGACAAAGTAGCAGTGATCTCAGGAAAACCCATCCACATTTCCATCACATATAGCATGCAAGGGGACTACATCACTCCAAATATCAATTTAGCCCAATAAGCTGCCTCTAACTCTGACTGAAAACAGATGCTCAGGGAAAGAATATAAGGTCAGGAAATTATACTGTGATTCTGCCTGCAAAATAATCTCCTGGCTTCCAGGAATCTGTGATTTAGGAGTTGCTTCAGCTAAAAATTGTATCTGCATATTTGTGATTAACAGTCCCAGCATACTTTTTCTCTTTTAATTTGCCAAACAACTTCTAAAATTCATTCGTATCTTAACAGGAAGATATTGCAGTAATGAGTTCCATACACAAATTATGCTTGTGTGAAACAGAAACATAATTTAGCTATGGAAGCATTTCACTTTTATTGAGAAGTACCATAGGAAAGAAAAATCATTGAATCTTGCTCATTTATTCTCACCTCTTTAAAACCTTGAGTTATGTGAAATTAGGAGTAATTGTTCTCTGCTTACTCCACATCACTCAGATTGCACCCACTTCTGCATTCTCCTCTCTAATGAGCTCTCTTAATTGAAAAGCACAGTTCATTCAAGGAGCCTGGTTAATGTTACCCCATCCAAACTTAACTGGCACACACCATAGACTTTTTTTTCCTGAGATAATTGATTTGCCTGAAAATGTACTGTAGTACAAAACAACCTAAGTTCAAAACCATCTAAGAATGTTTCAAGAGAAGTTAATTAGCATCTTTTTTTCTACAGTCTTAACAAATATTTTACCAAATAATTTCTCAGTTGAAAGAATAGTTTAAATAGTTTGAAAATTACCTCTGGTTGTGTAGCTTTTCAAAGGACTGAATTTTTTGGTTAAGAAAAACTAGCAATTCCTAAATATCTTTAAAAAATGATAGCAAGATCCTCCTTTATATCACTCCAGAGTAGCTATATAAAGAGTTAGTGTAAACACAATTATACTCATGCAACTATTTACCCTGTCCTGGCACAGCAAGGCATGTGGCCACAGGCATGTGCCAAAAGTCAAGTTTGCCTTAGGAGGTGCCATCATCAGGGCAGGATAGACAGACTGCATATCCCTAGTGCCTTATACTCACATGAGCCGGGGAAGATGGAGGACATCTAACAGAAGTGAAGTTTCAATTAACAAAGCTTCCTTACTACTGATCCCTAAATTGGACCAAAACCATCTGCCCACGCAGCAATCCGCCCACTCCATGGCTATGCTGGTAAACCTGTAGTTACACCCAAGCTGATTTCTTCAAGGCAGAAATTGCCAGGCAGATAATAAGATGATCAATCACTTGATCAAACATGGGAGACATGGCCCAGTTTCTCTTACGGTTCCTCATTAGGACCCTCACACAGAAGACAATGGGGTGTTAAATTCTCACATGGAGTACAGAAAACCTTACATGGATTGCAGTGGAATACAGAAAGAAAGACTTGCTATTGAAATACGAGTATTACCTAAATATGAATATTCCGTCTGGTTCTATGATTTGATTTTTTTAGAAAATAAAGGTGCACTGAGGTACAGCTGTTACTCGGATACACAATTTGAAATCAGAGTTTAGGGCACTCCTGCTTCCAACATCCTCACAATCCTGCAAACACCAGTTTAGTCCTAAGAAACAGATCCCTTGAACCCAAGGAACATTTAAGTGCTTAACTTCATTAGGAATAGACTGAGGAAAAAATTATCTTTTTCTTATAAAAAGCATCTATACAAGCGTGTTATCTAATAAGTACAAATGGAAGTAAAATGGGAATGTGGGAAGGGTGCCAATGTAAATCCTTCAAATCTGAGGAAATCAGGAGCAATTTCTCACTCTAAAATGGAAACAACACAGAGGAAATGCAGAGCATATTTGGCATGCTTTGGTCTCCTCCACTAAGGTAAAACTTCCCTCTCCCCAATGCCCAGGCAGAGGAACCCCAGCCAACATGGAAGTGATGAGACCCCAACTCTCTGCACCTTGGACACTGGAATTAAAAGCCCCAGTTCATGATATAGGTGTTGGTGAACAAAGCACATAAAACCCAAAACTCTCATAACAAAGGGACAGCACAAGCTGTTGCACGTCTTGCATGTATTTGATAGCCACTGGTGGAGGCCTCATGGCAACCTTCAGCTATCAGTAAGAAACTAGTAATAAAGATGAGATGGCCAAATCTGCACAGCAGAGACTAAAGGAGCAGAAGCTTCTTAGTATCAAAAACTCAGTATTGCCTGGAAATCTCAGTGGGAGAAACAAAGAAGCTTCTGGGATGAGGTTTATCCCCTGTTCCCAGCCCACTTCAGCCACACACAAAGCCTGACCCCAGCTTCATCACATCCCAGCAAACTTCAACAAAGCACAACCACTATTCTCCTTAGGATCACTTGTTGCCTGAGTAGGTACATTTTTTTATAATCACCTGTTCAAGAAAGAGATATTTCATCAGTGCAGGTAATCCAAAAACAGTTGCTTATATAACCAAATATAAAAAAAAACCTTGCAGTGAAATTGAGACAATTATGGTACTAATTACCTCGAATGACATGATAAGCAACAATTCTAGCACTGTTATAGTCTCATGCACCAGCCCAAGAGGGGATGATTACAAGAATCCATTTGCTATTTAGATACCCACTTTCCTGACAAGGACAGCAGTGCCCCTCCTCATGCCCTTGTTTATAATTGATGCCTTAAATACACACATCTACAAACTATGCTATACCTTCTTTAACATAATCATAGCTAAACTTTTCTTAACACAAAATCTTTTCTTAGCACAAAATCTAACATCCCTAAGAAAAAAAAATGCTAAAATTTTTGAGAAATAAAATGAAAATTTCCTCTCTGCACAGTTTTCTTCAAATTATTCTTCCCACTGCTACTGGAAAGTGAAACCACACATACTGAATCCATCTTCTACAGCATATGAAAGCTTATTTACTTTACAATAAACTGTTTTATGATGGTATTGAACAGCAGCTAGAAATCAAACAAGTAAAATTATTACTCAAATACACCCGTTCATCCTGACAGCCAAATCGACCCACTCAACAGTATCATCTCCTGAGAACAAATCAAAATCACTGCAAAATACATGACAAATTCTACAGCTTAATCACAGGAAATTAATACTACAATATCCAGGTGAGAACTTCTATTTTCTTTATGCCACGCAGCAGCAATTCAGATTTCAGTGTGCTTTGAACAACTGACTGTCATAAAACTAAGGGCACCAACTGGTTTCTTGCCAGTGGGAGGCAAACACCAATGAAAAATCACATTGTTTTTCATTTGCAATCATTTGAACAGATCTTTTTTAAAGAACTGTATCTTACGCCTTATATTTCCTCAAAGGTGCTCTTAAAGCAATTTCCCTCCACTGATGCACTTTTGTGAATGTTTTTCTTTGTTGTTTGTTTGTTTTCAGTTTAGGGATTGTTTTATTATTACTACTAAGTGGCTTATTTATTTAGTCAAAGTCAATAACCAACCAACTCAGTTTCAGTCAGCAAACGCACATCGGGATGAATCAGTTCAGTGCGAGCTGGCTGGGTAAGGAGAGGATTTCCCCAGCATCGCTTTCTCACACGAGCAGAAACAAAGATTTATCCACACAAGGTGCGAGCAGCACCTGGTGCAGCATCACTAAAGCGATACACACAGGAAAGCAAAGCGCGCAGCCACCCCGAGCCTCCCTCTGCAAAGTTAGTTCTGTCGGGTGACCGGGGGAAGCCAGGACAGCGAGAGAGCGACTCGGCTGGCAAAGAAACGGGCGAAACCCATCAAATATCCAGAAGAACAAACAAACGAAAAGACAAAACAAACAAGCAACCTACATAACCGCCCCCCAGCCCGGTTCCTCGGGTTCCTCTGTCACAGCGGAGCCCCGCGGCAGAGGGCGGGGGGAAGGAGCTCTCCCCGAGCGGAGCGGGGTCCCCTGTCTGACGGGGTCACCTGTCTGCTGGAGTTACCTGTTCTCCGGGCCGGGTCCGCACAGCGCCCGCAGCCGCCCATCGCCGCCGGGGACTCGCTCGGCGGACGCGGTCCCGGGGCGGGCACGTGTCGCTGTCGCCGCTGTCACCGCCGCCCGTCCCCTCCCGCCTCCCGGGGCGGTGCCGCCCGCCGGCACCTCCCTGCCAGCTCCGCTCCGCTCCCCGCCCGCCCACGAACCGCCGGGGCTTCCTGCAACCCGCCCCCGCCAGCATCCCCTCCGCACCGCCTCCCCAGGGCATCCCCCTGGGGCATCCTCTTGGAACATCCCTCGTTTGCCTCGGAGCATCACCATCCCCTCTCGGACCTTTATCCTTCCCGCCCACTCCCCACCAAGACCAAAGCACTCCCCCCACCAAACCTAAAACCCCAGGGTTTTGTCCCCAAAACCCAGGGACGTCGGGGAAGGCGGTGGCAGAGGGCAGGGGACTGGCAGCACTTCCCTCCCTGGAGAGTCCTGGGTGAGGGTGGAGCCAGAAAGGAAACTACAGGAATGACGAAGGGCCAAGGGAAATAAAATCAACAGCGGCACTGCTGCCACGTAACACTTGTTCTTGGCTGCATCTCCCAACATGTTTTATTGGCAGCATCTCCAGGTGCCTGACAAGGGAGCCAAGGACGGTAGCTGTGTTCCAGGCAAGGAAACTGAGGCAGGATTGGGTGAGCTGGCATGCTTACCTGCAGCTGAAACATGGCACCACATGAGTTTCTTCATGAGTTTGCCACAGCATGGAAAGGCAAACACCTCCCAACAGCACCTCCAGCACCAGGTTGTTTCTGGAGCACCCTGGGTCACACACTCCACCACACACCTTCCCAGAGAGCTCACACACCCCACCTGTGATGTTTAACATCCATGAGGGTGGTATCACTACATGAGGTGCAGAGCAATGGGATGGGGAAAGAAAAGCTTGGTGATGCAGTATATTTACATTCCAGACATATGATTCCAATCAGAAATTACATGTTGTCTAAAGGCATAGCTGACGTAGTGACACTCACCTCACACCATCGACTGAAACTTGGTGATGCAACCACGTTATGCCATTGCTACACAGAAGTTGTCGTGGACGTGTGGTAAGGGTTTGTCACAGTGCAAAAATTGTTCACTAATCACTGAATAAAAATGGGGGGAAAATATAAAAGCCGTTACTCAAATTTTTTCAGCCAGATCTGGAGAGCGGGAATTCGGACACACTCGCAGTCCTACACAGATCCACAAAATCAGGATCAAGGAGCCAGCAGTTCAGGATTAAGGAGCTACACATCAGTAAGATTATTGTTTGAACACATGAGCAATTTTAGAGGAACAGAGCATTAAAAAAAAAAAAAAAATTGACAATTTGCCTCCTGACTTAAAGGTCATGTTTAAATGGCCAGATCCTGCTGTTCCAGCACAACCTCAACAATAACATGGGTTACTGCAATCAGTATTACAACAATAAGCATACAGCAAGTCGTAAAGTGCATAGAACTTCCCAAAGTTTTGCTAAATGCTAAACAGGCCAGTTTTACTCAGCTCATGCAATCAAAAATTCAAGGGGAAGTTGGCTGAGAACAGAAAACTAATCAACAACCTCAACTGAAAACAGATAAGAAAGAAAACTTATGCCACTAATGTTTTTGTCTTCCTTTCATCTAAACCAAGAAAGGTATCAGATTCAAATAATTAGATAAGTTTAAAACTAAAACAACACGGTCTTCAAAATACTTTTCTGTTGGGTCTGTGATCCCACAAAATGTGTATCAAATATAGTTCTGTGCATGTTCTGTCAAAGGCTACAGCCAAGAGAGAAAAAACTGTAAACATGCCCAAAGGCAATCTAATAAAGGTGGCAGCTGATTTCTGGAGTAGGAAAAGAAAGTAGCTTGTGTATGTCTGCCAAAATGAAATGTAACAGTGCTCCTTGGATGCAACGGGAGAAAGAGATACAGAAATTAAATTCTCATACCCAATATCCACCTAAATGAGAAATGCTTGCCACAAGTTAGTGGCAATAAAAAGATAAATGAATTAACTATTACAAGACTACCCAAATATTGGCTCTGCAGAATATTAGGTTGAGAAATTTTCTTCTCCTGGACATCATGTAACTGTATTAAGTATGCTGATGAGGCCACAGCATGCTGAGTATCAAGGCTCTTTGCTACTTCACTGATAACCAAGAAAAGAAAGAGAGGATAATACTGCACAGATCCTTGGGAGAGGAACTTTCCATCACTGGCAGGCTGAGGGAAAGAGAGAAGAAAACATGACAGTTTGGAAGTGTCACGAAAACATCAATGTGAGGGTATTTTGTGAATGCATCCAATGTAATCTGAAGTCATTGAGAGCCAAGATATGCATTATTATAACTTAGTACTTTGTTAAGTATAGGACTTAAAGATGAGCACTAATTAAATCCCACTGTAAAACACATCATAAAAAAAAAGAGCACAGCTAAAAACACAGCAAACAAAAATATTCCAGTGGGAGAAATTTAAGTGTGCATAAGATTTCTTCTTGTTATTGCTTATTATATATTATTATTGTTATTAGCTTTCCAGAAATACTCACAAGGAGCCACTGTACACCTTCTCTTCATGTACTCAAAGAGTACATGAAGATTTATTAAGGCTGGATTTTATTAAGGCTGGCATTATTAATTCCTTTGAGGGAACAGAAAAACACATAATTGAGAACTACAGTTGGAGTTATCAAGTCCTACTCATTTTTTGTGAGAATATGTCATTTTCTCATGAGGAAAAGAAAAGCTGTCTTCTCAACAGAGGGGAAAAAATGCAACTCTCTCATTTCCCCACCCTGTATTCTAACTGCTGAAACAAAAAACGTGCCCTCATCAACCTTTACCAAAACCTGGCCAATGTGGATCAGTTTGAGGCTGCTGAAGATAATAGTTTTAGCTCCTTTCCTAATCACAGGCTCATCTTCAACCTTTCAAAGAGGCAGCAAGTGAAGCATTGTTATCCAGCCCACCCGTCTGCACAGCCTGTTCACAGCAGCACATCTTCAGGTTTATGAGGAAGACACAGGAGGGTGCAGCAGCACAGGGAGATCCAGTCATAGAAGAAAACAGTCACAGAGTGGTTTGGGTTAGAAAGGACCCTGAAGCTCATCTAGTTCCAGCCTCCCTGCGATGGGCAGGGACACCTTCTACTACACCAGGTTGCTCACTGCCCCATCCAACCTGGCCTTGAACACTTCCAGGGATGGGGCATCCACAGCTTCTCTGGGCAACATATTCCAGTGCCTCACCACCTACACTGTAAAGAATTTCTTCCATATGTCTAACCTAAATTTCCCTCCCAAGTAGGTTGAAACACCCTTTCTCCTGACCTCATAGGTAGTATGTCTGGTAACAAGTCTTGGACTTTGGATTCCTTCTTTTATCTCATAGGTAGAAGGTGTTCACTGGAAACACCACCAGAAGTTTTGAAGATCCCTTTATCATGATTTCGTGCTATTCTGTTTGCACTCATCACCTGTTCGCCACCAACTTTACTGAATTGTTTACAGAACTTTGCTGAAAAGATTGCTTTGGACATTTGTTAGCCCTGGGCACAATCTCTCAGGTATGGGACTTAAAAAGGCTTTTTAAAAACCCAAAGTGAAATCTCCTGCAAGAGCTAAGTGTTGTGCTTTATTTCTTTTGGACAAGTGGGTCCTAGGAGTCCTGATGACCCCAACACAAAGAATTACAAATCCCTAAGTAGCAGCTCATTTTCCTTGCAGCTGAGCACCTGGTTTACAGGCAGAATTTGGAGCAGGACCAAGAGTGTGCTTGCTCCTTAGGTCTGCAAGCATTAAGCCATTCCCAGAATGCAAACTAAGCTAACTGCAAGATTTAAGCCATTCTGTGCAACTGCACAAATAAATGCACTCAAGACCATAGGAGATTTAAGCATGTCAATAGTTTGAGATTAATGCATGAATAACGATAATTAGTTATGGCTTGACTACTCACTTTCAGCTCCAACAGATTACCTTGAAAAACCACATATTTTTATCCCACTTAACGTCAGCATGATTCACCTTAGCTAAATGTGTGATACTCTCTTTAGGGCTGGGTTCTCTGCTCTGAAATGTCACTGGCCATTTTTTGTCTGAACAGCGGAAATGCCACATGTGGAAACCTGAGCTTGAACTTCAAAGAAATGAAACCATCACAGCCTCAAGCTTCCTCTTCTCTCTCTTTCAATCCCATGCCTTGTTTCTGTGCAGCTTCACCATTTGAACAGCTCTGACTACCTTTTGATCAGCTGTACCTGGTGAGAAAGAACAAAGATGTGAGACAATTGCTTCAGCCACTCAGGATTAACAGCTTTTAAATGCTATTTAAGCAGGCTGTATTTTGTGACAGAACTTATAATTAAGTATTTATATCAGTCATTTTTCTGACAATCTATTGAGCAGCAATGCAGGGGACTGTTTCTTGTGCAAACAATGAACTTTTAGAACATTTGAAAATTCAGCTTCTGATTCATCCCAAGAGTAGTGCAGAGCTGAGCAGTGAGTCTGTGGGCTCATGAGAGCAGCAGAAAACCTCTAGAGCAAAAGCGTACTTAGGGATTTGAGTAAGGAATTGTATGCAGGAATCTCCAAGGAACTTACCAGCATTAATCATACATCTCAGAAGTACTGTCATAAGGAAAACTGACATGAGCAAAGTTTTAGTTTGATGGTTGGCTCAGATGGGAAACCAGTGACAGTCAGGAATAAAATATGAAAATTTGATCCTTCCAGTAATATCGAAGTGTTTGTTAGGGAAGGAGATGGTGAGTGACTTATTTTGGTTTGGGTTTTCTGCTTGTGCTTCTTGAAAGGGGAAAACTGGATCCCCTGAGTTTTCAGCTCCCAGCCACCTCCTGCAGGGAGGCATTTGGCCCTTGGAATAGGTGATGCTGGCACCTCACAAGCTATGGAGAGTCTGAACAACACAAGTAAGTTGTGAACATGGGGTTAGGAAAATGAAAAAAAAACCCCAGTCTTTCTTTTTTTTTTTTTGGTAAAATTTCCCCTGAATATCCT